ATATATATATATATATGTGATATTTGTGGTGTTATATATATATATATATATTATACAAATAATGAATGTTTATGAGTGCAATGGTAAGAATATTTTCATGAGGTGAAGATGCAATGTTCCATTCAACGAGGCGACAGCCGAGTTGAATGGAATATTCCATCTTTCACCGAATGAAAATATTCTTACCATTGCACGAAGAAACATTCATTATTTGTTTTATATAATACCAAAATAAACTAATAGATTCGTATGAGAAGCATTTTGAGGGATGCAATTTATCGAAAACACAAATAGTGCAATTGTACTATACGTTTTTTTTCATTGCACTCGCGGAGAGTGCAATGGAACGTGTTCCATTGCACACTTGGGAAATGGAATTTTCTGTTCAATATCACGTGACCATAAACAGCCAATTAAACGATTAGAATTTAATAAGGTATTATATATATATATATATATATATATATATATATATATATATATATATATATATATATATATATATATATATATATATATATATATATATATATATATATATATATATATATAAGATTAGAAGCCACAGAGCGATATCTAAATACAAGCGGTACCGTTTCGGCCTTATGGGCCTCATTAGTGTAGTGCTGATGTGCAGGATGAAGGCAACTGCTATTTACAGTTACCCTTGATGCCTCACGATTGTGGGACATCGAAACCATGTCAGTGCGCTCAAACTGCAAGCAGTGAGCGCGCGCATGTATGTATATATATATATATATATATATATATATATATATATATATATATATATATATATATATATATATATATATATATATATATATATAAATTATGAAATACACACTCGAGAACATTTTCTACTAGGACGCCGAAACATGCATGTCGCCAGATTCTACTATATATATATATATCACTGCAAAAAATACCGGAGTATTTTGACTCAAAAATATGAGTAAAACAATGCACCCACAGTGACTCAAAATATTGAGTAAAACAACTCAACTTAGTGAGCAGATTAACTCAACTTTTTGAGTAAAACTAGTACACCCACAGTTACTCAAATGTTTGAGAAAAACATCACTTTACCCAAATTGTGAGTAAAAAAATACTCAAATTTTTGAGTAAAGCAAATGCACCCACAGTGACTCAAATCTTTGAGTAAAAGATCACTTTACTCAAATTGTGAGTAAGAAATACTCAATTTTTTTAGTAAAGCAAATGCACCCACAGTGACTCAAATCTGTGAGTAAAACATCACTTTACTCAAATTGTGAGTAAAAAATACTCAAATTTTTGAGTAAAGCAAATGCACCCACAGTGACTCAAATCTTTGAGTAAAACATCACTTTACTCAAATTGTGAGTAAAAACTACTCAAATATGTGAGTAAAGTAAACACACCGACAGTGACTCAAATTTTTGAGTAAAACATTACTTTACTCAAATTGTGAGTAAAAAAATACTCAAATTTATGAGTAAAGCAAATTCACCCCAGTGACTCAAATTTTTGAGTAAAACATCACTTTAATGAAATCAGTAAACACACCGACAGTTTTCACTCAAATTGTCAGTGAAAAGCAAATTAAATTAACACACATGCAGTCTTGAAAAATATATTCCCCAATAGCCATAAATCAAACACTTGAATAAAATTATTTCAATGAAATTTAACGAAGTTATATTGCTCAATCCTATATATATAATATAACTAAATCACGTCGATCTTTGTACTAACTTTAATTTCACAAATAAAACCATGAAAAATTTTTGGAATAGTAAACATGCATGTGAGTACATGCAGCGGAACATGCGAGGAATGCCCCAAAAATGAGCCCCTTGCTGCTCCATAAATCATGCATGCTATAATAGCCCTCCTGAAGTCAAAATAATTTATTATTCCTCTATATACAAGGTATACAGTATTGTAACTGGAAATACAATTTGCTTTAGCATATAATGATATATTCTTACGCTCGATAACATTCTTTGAATGCAGTTCTAAGTTCAAAGTTTGATTGATGATATCATGGCTGCATGTGTATAATATGATGGATTGCAGGATATTGCAAATAGCCAATATTAAATATAGGAGACAATCAACAGCCTACTCTAGTATATGGCAATAATAGCAGACTGATCATGGGTTTTTGTAGATGGACATTTCAAATGGAAACTGTACAGCTAACATGTGTTTCATAGAACTAACTGAGAGCATGTTTCGCTCGCTACTCTGGTTTAAATAAATTATTACAAAGTCCAGTTGAATTGTAATCAAGACCCAACGTTTTGACACTCCAGTCTAGTGTCTTCATCAGGGGTGATCTAAAGTTGCAATTGTCGCTTCTTAAATACCCAAGGGATGACGTCACCTGCCAATGAGATGCATGTAATATGATATTAATGTTGCCTTAAAACCGTATTTGACTTTAGGCCATATTTCCGCAAAGCCGAAAGATCCTGTTAAAACAAATCAGAAAACTCATGCTGTATATTCTATA